ATATCTCCAAAAAACACCATTTGGAACTATGGTCCTGTAATCTCTTAATATCTGCATATCTTGCTTATCATAAAATGACTTGTGAGATGGTGAGAAAAGACTTTTATTAAATTCAAACATTGCATTGTTCATTTTATTGAAGACCTCAGCATTGTTAACAATGATGCTACTGTCCACTGCATCCGCTACAAGACTCTGACTTCTGACATTGAACACTACTGAGTTAAACCTCATTTTCAAGTTTCCTATTTGTCCTGCCTTCCAACTTATAAAAGGTGGATAGCCTACCCTCTTCAAATCACAAAATATCTGCATTAAATTATTTTCAGAATGTATCAGGTTAAATTTTTTTTCTTCTTCATCATCTTTATTTTTCTGACAATCGCGTGCGTCGCGAGCCTTTGGTGAGGCGTCCCTTAGTATGGGTAAAATATCATCAATGGTATTAAAGACTTTATATTCAACTGGTTTTTCATTCCTATTGAATATAAAATTACTTGATGCATTACAGCTAAAATTCATTTGAATATTTTTACGGGCTAGACTCACAATATTAGAATTTAAAGTGTAGATATGGTTATCTTTAACCAATCCAAAAAATGCTGGAATGTTTTTATTTTTAATCTCAGGGTCATATGAATAAAACTTGTATCCCCAACAGTTGTATATTCTGACTGGGAACTTAAAGTATTCAAAAACGGGTTTCATCTCCTCAACTGATGCCCCGTTTTCTTTAAAGTCTTCATATGTTTTACCTATCAGTTCTAAAACCCTTTCTCTTGTTAACCTTTTGTTTTTCCACTTGTTGGGACTCATCAATGTATTTTTGTAATGGTTATTCAGTGAGTTAATCCAACATTCATCCTCAAAAATACCCTCTTTATGCATTGCTTCATAAAGACTATTATAACTTTCCTCTAACTCTGTGTTAATGTATGAGTGATACATACTTATCTGGTTTCCATCTCTCAGCATCTCTTCGGCTTCACTCTGTCTCTTCTTGCTTCTGCTTGTGATTTCTGAGATGTCTTTTATCTTGATACCATCTGCATACGATTCAAGATTATGAAATTGTTGTCTGAAAATTTTATCAGCTTTTAACAGTCTTTTAAGTGTAGACTCAAACAACTCAGTGTTGTGGATGACTTCTATTAACTTTGTTCTCTCTTTAAATCTTTTTCTGGGTGGTCCTTCTAATAAGTTCTCTTGCTTGAAGTTTTCAACAGTAGCTTTTGCATCATATTCTCTTTTTGATATCTCCTTCTGTTGAAGCTTTGCTTTCAGAAACTTGATGAAATTTTCATACTCATCTCTGACTACATACTTATTAATAATATTTTTTGGTATTAAATCCTTCTCACTGCTTTTTAATATTACTTGTCTCTCATCAATAATCATTTTATATTTGATTCCGTAGTTGTCAACAAATGCATCTCCACCTGTGCCTGTATCAGTCTTGCTGTATACTCTAAACGTTATTGCATATTCTTTTTTGGTATTGGCTCTCATTCTTTCAGCTAGTTCTTCATTAGTTCTCCATTGTGAAGCCTTCTTTTCAAATCTCCTGATTGCACCATTTACTGTTCTAGCATTTTCACTTTTCAAATCGTTTATTAATTTTTGCGCTGTGCTAAATTGGGCAATCTTCCTATCATTATAAAGGTTATAATTTCTTGGATTATATCCCTTACTGTTTCACTTGCACCACTCCTCATACTTCTCAAAAATTTAACATTTTTCTCAACAATTTTTGATGGCATTATAATATAGTATCTTATATTATAATAACATTTCCTTAGGTAGTTTAAGAAGATTATACTATTTTTAATCTAATTTTTCAAAATTATTATTCTGTAAATTTTTGCACTTCATAGTTTTTTGATGAACTTTCATTTTTTCCTTTCCTACAATTGAGCCACATAACGGACATTCAATTTTTGCACTTAAAACTTTTTTGTAATATTCTCTGTGATATAACCTGTTGTATTTTTTAAGCTCATCCTTTTTTAACAATGTTCATCTCCACTATGGGTTGCTTGACAACATAGTGAGAATCATTTTCATCAATTTCTTCACCTAAAACCTTCATTACTAAATTATATGATTAATTTTCCTTTAAGTAGTTTACATACAAAAAAAATATTAAATTATTATTTCATATCATCATATTTTTTCTTCAATATTGGGTATAATTTTGAATAAATTGATTTAGCCTTTGCTGTATGTTTGGATTTTTTTTTACCCTTTGCTCTCTTAAATTCTTGGAAGACATCATTAAATTCTTTGTATTCTTCTGCTGTAATGGTGTTCTTGTTCTTTGCATTGGTTAAGGTTTCATATATTGTTTGTATGTTTGCTCTACTTGGTGTAGTTGGTTTTTGAATTGTTTGTCTTACTCTGCTTCCCTTTCTTGTGTCTTCTTCATCATCTGCATCATCTGCTTCTACATTCACTGTTGTTTTTTTTGCCATTTTTGCTTCTAGTTTTTTTTGTCTCTTTTCCTTATTCGTGTTTGTTCTCTTGCTCTTCTTTCTACCTGCATATTCAGGCATTTCATCACCCTCTCTCTAAGCTATCAGGGATTTTTCTGAAACCATCTGAAAGCATCAGAAAAAAACACAAACATGCTTCAAAAAAGGTTGAAAATAGTTCAAAAATAGTTCACAGAAATTCAAAAATAGTTTACTAAAATTCGGCGAAAATGACACTGAAAATTCAAGAAACCAACACTAAAATTGACAACAGCGGCACGAAGAATTGACAAAAAAAACACTGAACTTAACGAAAATGACACTGAAAATGAACAAGACCAACACTGAAATTCACGAAAATGACACTGAAAATTGAAGAAACCAACGCTAAAATTGACAAAAACGGCACGAAAAATTGACAAAAATGACACAAAACATTTTCCAAAATGAGACAGAAAATTGACAAAAATGAGACAGAAAATGACCAAAACGGAGCCCAAAAAGTGTCCCAAACAGACAAAAAAATGGCAGAAAAAACGTCTCTGGCGACCCAAACATGGCGAAAAAAAATGGATTTTCCGAAACCCTCCGTAAGGTGGTGTTTTCGCAAATTTTGACTTTTTGTTTCAAACTTTCCAATTTTTTTGCCGAAATTTAGCCCCCCAAGTGCCCGCCAAGTGCCAAATTTGAGCCCCCCAGTGCTCCCAAAGTGCCAAATTTTGAGCCCAAAGCGCCAAACCCTGACAGAAAAATAGACAAGAATAGAACAGAAAAAAATGAAAAATGACAACTAAGCAGACTATTTTAAAAGAAAACTTTTGAAAAGAAAAACCAGAAAAAACACAGGCAAGCCCTATATTCTAACCATTACGGCATCAAATCACGCCGACGTTCTATATTCCTTTTTTCGCACACCGTTGCTTTGAGTGAAACAGGACGCTGGTCACGAACCTTCCTTCAAACATTTGCTGGACAGGGTCCAAGCCAAAGGAGCTTGTCGCAAGTTCTCCACCTCAGACTCACTCAGGTCTTGCGACTCAGACTCGCAATCTTCTCCACCATTTGGCAAGCCACCTAGGTGTCGGTGCCTGAGAATTCGGCATGCTCGCATCCTCAAGCTGAACCAATGCACTGATCCTTTGACAGAGACCTTGATGTACTTCTCTGTGCCATTAACGCACCAATCAGGTCGCCCATGAAGGCTCACCTTCACATTCCGCATGTTCGCCAGCTTCTTGACCTCGTCCTTGATGTCGTTCTTGGTGATGCAGTTGTATGTTGCATCTTTGGGGAAGCCGTTCCATCCTACCAACCGGAGTTGGCTTGCCTCGTCATAGTTGAACTCAACCTTCTTCAAATCTTCGGCTGCCTGCTCTAACTCCTTGGGGTATGCTCGGGTGATGGTATTGAACTCATTGATGCTGCACATGCCGTCCTCAGCGTTCGGGTCGTACACCCCGCCAGCTGCGAGGACAAAAGCCTGCACTGCGTTCCTAGCATCAACACCACGGCAGAGGACATATGCATCGTAGGGTTCCTCATTGGCGACTGGCTTTGGAAACACTTCTGGGAACTTCTTCACAGGCAAAAATGCGACCATGCTGGTGTCGGCTTCTTTTGGCCGGTTGTTCTGGCCATACTCTGCATGGACCGGACTGAACAAATGCCAGCAACTGGGCGCGCCTTTCAAGCATTTTTCTGACGTCCATTCCTTGTTGTACCCTTTGTAAGGTTTGTAAGTCTGCTGCAAGGCTTGTGACCAGAAATCTCGCAGCCGCTCTGAAGTGGGAGCTCCGGCATGTGCTAGCTCGCCCATTCTGGATCCAAACAGTCCTCCCAATGGATTTATTTTGGCTTCATCACAGGCTGCACTGTCAAACTCACTTCGCCCCTTTGTATGCGGAACCGATGCCGCAGCAGGCTTCTTCATGTCTTTCGCCTTCTTCGGCTTCGCCTTCTTTATCGCAGCCTTCGCAACCTTCTTTGGCGACATGGCTCGAATATAAGCGTTTTCACGCAACAATGCCAACCCAAAATGACCAATGCTACATGTGGGAGAGTTCATGCTGCACGAGATGATTAATGACCTGCTCCTAAACATCAAGCGTTGGGCATGGCTTTGCTGTGGTAATTTGTTTTTGTGTTTTTCTGGGTGTTTTTGATGGATTTGTTGGCTGCGGGGTGCATCATACCGCGGATGGGCAAGGTGCCCATAACTTTTATAATGATTTATTATGAAAATTATGTTAATATTCTTTTCTATTTAAAACTTACTTATATTATGGCTCCTCCCATCATATTCCCCCATAATTTTTATCATATGAATGATAAAAATTATGATGAATAAAATGTGATAGGTTCATAACATCAAGGATATAACACAATTTATGAAGAATAGTATGTAAAAAAATATGTGAAATAGTTGTTTGTTATGGTTGGGGGGTTTTTTAAAAGATGGGAGGAGCCAATCCTAGCTATAATATATGAAGGGTGCTGTAATCCCATATATAATCTGTATTCAACAGGGGCTTAGCAAAGCAGCCATTGCTCTTGTGATGTTTGGAATCCCGGCCCTTTTTCCACATCCATCACCCATACCTGTAGCGAGTGCGAAGTCAGCGGTAGTTTGGAGGTCGCCAGTTCTTCCTGCAGCTTTGGAATCACCTCAACGATGGGTGCGTTGCGCACCGAGGGATCCAATAGATCCAAAATAATGGTTGTTGTGTGTTTTTCTTGGGTGAATTCATGTTATCACGAGTTCAGTTCACCCAAAAAATTCTCGGAGCACGGTGGCACGGGTGTTGCGGTAGAGCAAATCCAATTGATCCGTTCGGGGATGGTTTACCAGAATGCAACGAGACAACCAGCAAACACCCTCCGCAGCCGCTTCCCCACGAAAAAACGCTCGTAAAATAGAGATACGCCCCATGTCCACAATATCCCGTTGAAAAATCCCCACATCCATCCACATCCCCATATGTCTGGTATTTTTGGATAAATCCTCCATATTTTTGGTTCAGTCCCATTAAAATATCCCCAATATCCCCATAAATAATCGATAAATCCACCCTTTTCCAACGTCGTGGTCCAAGGTCCGGGTGTTTCCGAGGCTTCTGCCAGGACGTCGTCGGCATCAAGGCATTGCTGCAGCATGTTTTGCAAACGCACCTTCCGGCTGAACACCAGAAATCCATCTGCCTATCTATCTATACCTATGTATCTATTTAATTCTATTTATCTATCCATTGACAAATTGATCTATCATGATCTATCTACCTACCTGTCCTATCTTGTCCTATGCTATCCTATCCCATCCTATCCTGTTATGCTATCCTATCCTACCCTATCTATTTTATTTCTCTCTCTCTCTCTCTCTCTCTCTCTCCCCCTATCTATCGATCTATGTATTTGTCTGCCTATCTGTCTATCTATCTCTGTATCCAGCCATCCATCCATCCATCCATATCTCTGTCTCCCTCCCTATCTATATCTATATCTACATCTGCATCTCTATTATCTAAACTCCTATCTCTAGATAGACAAACAGCTAGACGGAGTGATAGCTAGATAGATAGACTTAATAGACTTGTAAATTATAAATATTGTTCTTCACCAAATGTGATGACTGCCTAATAGCCCGAGACAACCATTAGCCATGGAACTTTGGACCTTGCTCATCCAAGTGTTTCACAGGCTTCTGTCATGACCTCTCGTTCCAAAAGTGGTATGAATCAACATGGAAGACCCACCAACATGCAGCTGCTTACCCTCTGGTAGTCAAACGTGGCAATGGAACATCCAGTATAAATGGAGGTTTCAATGGGAACATCATCTATAAATGGGGGGGGGTCCATTGCCACGTTTGATTACGGGTAATGATCTTTCTTGGTATTCAGCCATCCAGGGCCATCCATGTTTTGAGGTTACCCAGTTTCACCATGTTTCACCCCCCCCACCTCCGCGGCATGGACTGCTTTGGCCCAGCACGCTTCAACGTCTTGCCTCGGCTTCGAGGCAGCTCAAAGAACGTCCGATGCCGTGGAAAAAACACACGGAGTGACCCTTGTCCCCCTAAAGGAGACAAAATAAATCCCACTGAATCCATATTTCAATACCTCTTTGAAATTACATCTGGGGATACTACTCCTGTCAAGAAACAACGACATCATAGATCCAAAGTGACATTGTATGGCCAAGCCACAACCGCTGCGTGTCAAAGAGCTTTTCCACTCTGGCTTGGGACAGCTTCTTGTCGTAGCCCTCCCGGTCCAGCTTGCGAATGGCCTGATGTTCAATCCCCATCGATCTATGGATCAAAACCTAGAAAAATCCTGCTGTGAAAACGTCATGGATCTATGGCTGGTAGGATGGATGTTCAATGATGTCCATCCCCATATAATCGTAGGATATGGTAGGCATTGACCCATCCCATTCCCGTTTCTGAAGAGTTCTTTGCCATTGATCTGAGCACAGGGCATGAATGGGGGCCTTTTCTGTTGCGTCTTGCAATTTCTGAACCATCCGGTCCCACCAAAGATTCAGCTCCGCCATACCTACAAAAAAGATACATCTTTTCGTATAGAGATGTATAGAGTATAGCAGGATAGTATCTTACCGAATAAAACCCCAACCAAATACAGCAACTGATTTCCACCCACCATTCACTCATCAGCCCCATCGGTGCTGCAAATGGTTCCCAATGGTTTCCGCCTCCTCAAGCTCAGCGAAAACAATCTCTGCCTTGGCCCTCAACTCGCGTTGCCTCTATTATATACATCTGATGGCAGTCAGAAAAAAAATGCGGAAAGGAACAATCGCACGCTGAAAATCCTCATCATTGAATCACTGTTTGATGTAATTGAACAATTGACAAACGATGCTTTGCTGCAGGCAGTCACATCAAGTCAAGTCCTGCTTACTTGGTTTGATGAGTCTTGGGTAGAATCCGCTGGTAATGGTCATCCCTGTTCAGCAATTGATGAGGTCTCAGAGTTACAACTGTGACTATGTTAGTCAACATTTAACACATTTACCATGCAAACCCACAGAGTCTTAAGATGTCTTAAGCATTTTGGCACATTTCTGGGTACTGTACAGACTGTACTCCTCCCGTTTTGGGCGGCGTAATGACCTACCTCCCCATCTATCCCGCCTTCTCAGCTGCTGCGTCATTCGCTGCTGTGCTTCCAAGAGCTGAGGAAGCCTATGCAGTTGACCATAGAAAATAGAGATTAAAACATATTAAAAATGTGTTTCTTGTTTTTTTAGACATTAATGATATTAGAATGAGTGGAGCGGTCTTGATGGGGATTATATAAAACTACAACCATCAAAGATGGTGAACATAGGGGTTTAAACATACAAAAACAGGGATGTTAGCCATGAATGATGGAAATGGTGGTCTGAAAATGGTTTTTTTTGGCCCCTTTTATGGTTATTTTTATTGGGACATGAAGATTGGTCCTGTGCTTCACCGGCGGATGGCGACCGGGTACGGGGTAAAATCGATCGAAGCTTGAGCCACGACAAGCCCAAGTTTAGTCCACGATCGCAGGAATGCAGCGCATCCAGTGGGTCACCCTTGTACCAGCTGGCGTGTATACATTATATATATATATATACATACATTGTACATACGTAACATTACATTACATTGCAGTACATTACATTACGGTACGTAACGCAACATAACATATACATATACATACACACATACACACATACATTACATTACATTACATTGCATTACATTACATTACATTGCATTGCATTGCATTACATTACATTACATACATACATACAGACACGCATGCATACATCCATACATACACGCATGCATACATACATACATACATACATACATACATACATACATACATACATTAATTACATACATACATACATACATACATACATACGTACGTACGTACATACATACATACATACATATATTACATACATACATACATACATACATACATACATACATACATACATACATACATACATTAATTACATACATACATACATACATACATACTGTGAACAAATGAATCCTTGTTCTGGATACCGTTTAGTTGGAGGTACCGGCAATGCTGGTTGTAACCGTGACCCTCAAAGCATGGCGGTCGGAGCGCGATTATTTTCCTTGCAGTGGGCGCTTGAGCCATAGTGGCGTCCCATGAAGTTGTTGTCTACATTACACACATGAATTGTGTGTGCTATGATTGCGTTCCCTTTGACACCCCCCATGTCCATGGTATCCTTCGGACCACGGACACGAGAGAGGGAACTTTGAATTAGAATGATTCTGCTACTCGAATTACGCCTATTTACATAAAACATGCCATTCGGCTCCCCCTTCCCCACATACCCGACGGGAATAATGGTTCAGGGTTCGCCTACTCTATGGCTGTCGATGCATCGGCGCTTCATCAAGCTGTACAACGCGAATTATTGCTAGCTAACACCTACTTTTCTACGTTGGCTAGGCATGCCACTCGCCCGACGGGAGAAATGGATCGCTTCGCTACCAAAGATTTACAGTGCTAACTAACGAATTCACGTGCACTATGCAGAATTTCATGCAGATTGGGAATATCAAAAGTCTCGGACCTAAGCGAATTAGTCTACTGCCTCGCTCAGAGTCCACTCAGTTGGTCTCTTCCTGATCATCTGTTCACAAAGACGATACACATCTTATAGTCCAGTGATCATTTTGATGGACAGAGGTAATTGGTTTACTGCTCACGGCGGACTTTCTTCCATTGAGGCGTTGTTGGAGATTTCTCCCATCCTGCCGCACGTTTCGGAGCAGCTTTCGGCGATGAGGGCTTCGCAGGCGGTGCTTTTGATGGTTCATGGGATCTCGGCATAGCTTTAGCCTTTGGTGCGCTAGCCGACGAGGATGATGCTGAACCAGTGCCTTCAGGTTTCTGTGAAGGTTGTGCTGAAGATTTGGCTTTCGCGTCTGCGGTTGCAAACTTGGAAGCGGCACTATGTCCGACTGCTTTGAATACTTCACTCACTACTTCGTCGCCAAGGGTGGGAGCCATATTCATTTTCATCTCGGACTTTCCCCTCTGCGCCTCGGCTTCAGCCAGCTGAATAGCATATGCCATCTTGCTGACAAAGTTTTGAGGTAATGGAATTCCGCATTGTTGTGCGGCAAAGAGTAGTTCCACCCTTTGTTCCTTTTCTCTCAGACTCAGATATACCGAGAAGGCTGGGAGTTCAATGCAGTTGGGAAAGCCATGGTTCCCGGAGCGAAAGAAGGTGTATGATTCATGTTCTGGAAAGGTTCCTTTCAGCAGTCGTCGGAGAAAGTTGCTGATGGTTACTCTCATCTCCTGTTTTCCCTGTGCATCAGCCTGCATTCGGTTCATTGGCATGAGGAAACCCAAGGACTCGGGAGTGTACCCAGCACATACGAGAAACTCCATCATCTTTTCATAGACCTCCAAAGTCTTGACGACAGGCATCATCATGTTTCTCGGTCGTCCAGAGTACATCTTCTCTCCCTCTGACCATGAGTTCTTCTTCCCTTTCTCCTGAAAGAGTTCGTCCAATTCCAGCTCCGTCGGTCGCTTGAGGTTGCCATCCTGGTCTTCACCTGTATAAGGACAGAAGTCGTCCAGGTCCAGCCGGACTCGCTTGGTCTCCGTCATCATCTCATAGTATTCCTCTGGGGTCAGAGTAACTCTCTGCTTGTAGTAGAGTCTGAACATTGCGATGATCTTTGACATCACGGCGTTGTCGTACAAGTGAGCCGCGGCCTCGGAGACATCATTGTTGACAAGTCCGTCTCCCGGCATACCCTTGCTTCCGCACTCAAGATTCTTGGTCCATGCTGGTAGTTTGGATGAAGGTTCATTCTCAGGTTCGACGTCCATCTCATCGTCATCATCTTCGACGATTACGTCGTCTTCCCGTTGAGTTTCTTCCTCCTGATCCATTTCTTCATCATCGCCTTCATTGTAGTCGACCTCATCAGGGTTGAAGCCATAGTCGTTGGATTCGGATACATTTTCTTGTGCTTGATGGACCGTATCCTTGAACAACGATTCTTCTTGTCGACGAACCTCTTCATCGAGTTCTTTCTTTGTGGCCTCATCTTCATCGTCTTCAGGAGCTTGTAGCCGATATGGACGAATTCCACAGCTTTCAAGTTCTGTCCAGCAAACTAGACACACGGCAAGCTTCGTCGGCGTCTCGTTGAGACAATGAGGACAATGACGGCAACCTGATGTTTGCACCCTTTTGCGTTCGACTATATAGTCGATCAGCTTGATGCGGGCCAGGTATTGCTCTTGTCCGCCAGGCTCAATGAGGTTGTTCCTGAATTGGTGGACGATGTTCATGGCATCCATGGTGGTCTCGTCATACGGTTGGTCTTCGGCGTCGATGCATTGACTTGCGACCCTCAGGATGGACTCCTTGGTGGCTACAGTTCTTGATTTGACAGTGCCAGACCGGACTACCTGGTCGTCGCCCGACGGGACGAACAACCGGAGCCATGTCTTGTTGTACTGGTCCTTGGGGTCCTGAATCCATCCTCCTTTGATCGCCGAAAACGGGATGATCTTTGGTGAAACGATCTGTCCCGAGTCAGTCAATCGACCGCCATACTCCACCATCAAGGTTTCGGTCGGGATGAACAGGCAGATAAAGTCTCCCTTTCGCGTATCAACGCTCTTCGTGATGGTCCATGATCTGTGATCCCATGGCACATACGGGTTGAAGAACGTGAACATCCGATGACCTTCTCCAAGACCTCCTGGGATTAACCCCTGCCTCCAAATGCTTCGGAGGTTGGTCTTCTTTGTGATGTGGAAGCAGACCTGTAATGACATAATGGTGTTGGGTGCGATTGGATGCGAAAGCAACAATGACAGCAGTGAGACGTCATCCCTGGATGACCCTTCCTTGTGCCCCGTTGGGGCGCGGACTGCCACTGGGTAGAGCAGTAGCCCTTCGTCGGGGATGTGCGTGTCCGCATCAACCTTGTTGTCGATGCACGTCAGGCTGCTGCGATCAATATCCTTGTTGATCCCGAACGCCAAGACTTGTTCACGCACACGACGTCCATACCGAGCACAATGGAACATGATCTTGAACAGCAATGTCATGCGATAGTTCGCCTCATTGACATTCCACGCATCTTGTTCATGTGCTCTTCCTTTGGGGGCAAGGAAGACGTGTGGCCAGCGTGCATGCTCGTGTCTCCAGATGGACTCACATTTGAGCACTTCCTCGATGGGCACCCAGCCGGCGTCATCACAGCACAGACTCTGTGATTCTGATACCTTCCCCACATTGTGACGTAGGATCCTGTTCAACGATGTACTCACCTTGTCCTCGTAGCTGTCGAGTCGGTTGCCAGTCTCGAAGCGATAGTTGGCCGCGTATTCCACACCGCCAAAGTAAAAGCAGTTGAAGAAATGGGCTCCTGTTGTAGGGATGATTTTCAAGAAACCATCTTGCGGCGCCTCGATTCGCTTGTAGAAGGGCTTTCTGATGTT